ACAACACAAAAGGCAACCTGCTAATTTCTGATTACAGATGTCACGACATCCTGTAGGACATCTTGTGATTCCTTTTAGTTTTACCAAAATACATGCCAATCAAGAACTAACAAACTCCCCCTTTGGCAAATTTTAGCTAAAACCAATCACAAGAACACAACATCATACAAGAGTACAGCACAGCAGAAAAAAAAACTCCAAAACAAGGGAAGTAAAACAAACTCCCCCTCAAGAGATGCACAAACAAACCATTCAATCAGCCCAATAAAAAACAACCCATAAACACAATTAGGCAACTACAACTAGGCAACCACAAAGTTCCAAAAGGAACAAGCACACATCTAATAAGATCAACATCCTGTTAACACCAAAAGATCAACAGCACTATCTTCAAACCTACTAAACATACCAGCACATCCATCCAAAAACAATCAGAGCAACAACACAACCACCAACTTCAAGCATATAACCAGCATCACCTGATAGGGACATAGCTGTATATAGAAGAATACAACCAATATTACAACCAATCTTCTCCCCCTTTTTAGTCATAATTTAAAGATCATAAACTAAAGGAATAGCATAGATCAGAAAAATTTAGGAACAAATAAGTTAAGGGTATGAAGGCCCCAATAATACAACCCAAAATGCTCATGTAGAGCAACAAAATCAGTCAATTCTGCCAAGGCAGACAACAAACCAACAGCCCAACCAAAAACCAAACATAAAACAAATTCCAAAAAGAACCAAAACTGCCAGCAAACCACCAGAGCAGACAACCTAATCCTCATCCTCAGAAGCTGAACTGGAGCTAACCTCTTCACCATCAGTTGAGACATCTTCATCACTATCTTTAAATTCTTCCTTTGACAATGCCTCACTATTTTTTTTCACTAGAATTATCAGGACTAGGGGAGGGATCAATGCGAGCAAGAGGGGTGGAAATACCATGCACAATACGACCTTTCTAGAGAATCTTAGTGACAAGTTCCCTAATGGATCTATCAACATATGCAGAGCCTTCCTTGTTCAACATTTTAGTAATGTTGTCAGCAGAGGGATCAGAAGAGTTACCTGTGGAGTGTTGTTGGGATGTGCCAACTTGAGGAGATGTTGCATCAGGAGCATTTTCGCAGGGCTTGGGATGGGCATTAGTTTGGGAAGCACCTTGTTTGGAAGACATTTTGTTGTTGAAGGAGGAAAAATGAAGGGTTGAGAGGTATTATAAAGAGTAGGGGGGATGAGGGATTTGTAGGAGTAGTTAGATAAAAAAAATTGTGTGGGATAAAGAGTTTTAGTGGTCAAGGGCGTGAGGTGCATTAAAGTCGGATGTTGGAACATGTTTACTTTAATAAAACTTCTTTTAAACTCAAAACTCCCTTTTGGTAGTAATTGCTATAGGTCCTCATAAATGCAAATTCCCAACTTTCCTCTCAAGGTCTCAAATTAATTAGCATCCAGAGCTTTGGTAAAAATATCAGCCAATTGATTTGCTGTAGTGACATGCTCAAGAGTAACGATTTTTCTTTCAAGCTCCCTAATAAAATGGTGCCTAATATCAATATGTTTAGTTCAACTGTGTTGAATAGGATTCTTGGAAATGTTTATAGCACTCAAATTATCACAGTATAATGTCATGACATCTTGTGTGACATTATACTCTGTAAGCATCTGCTTCATCCACACAAGTTGGGAACAACTACTCCCAGCAGCAATGTATTATACTTCAACAGTAGACAGAGATACACAGTTATGTTTCTTGCTAAACCATGAGATAAGGTTGTTTCCCAAAAAGAAGCAGCCTCCAGATGTGCTCTTCCTGTCATCAGCACTTCCAGCCTAATCAGCATCACAATATCCTGACAGTACACATCCAGATCCATGTGTGTACAACATCCCATACTCACTTGTCCCATTGATATACTTAAAAATTCTCTTGACTTGATTTATGTGGCTAATTTTGGGTTCAGCTTGATATCTGGCACAAACTCCTACAGCAAAAGCAATGTCAGGTCTGCTTGTTGTAAGATATAACAGGCTTCCAATCATGCTTCTGTACATACTTTGATCCACATTAACTCCATTTTCATCTTTGGACAATTTTAGATGAGTGGGAGCAGGAGTTCTTTTATGGCTGGCATTTTCCATCCCAAACTTCTTAACAATGTTCTTAGTGTACTTACTCTGAGATAGAAATATGGATTCTTCCATCTGTTTGATTTGAAGACCAAGAAAGTAAGTTAATTCCCCAAGAAGACTCATTTCGAATTCAGATTGCATTTGCTGAACAAAATGTTGAACCATTTTGTCTGACATCCTACCAAATACAATGTCATCAACATAGATTTGAGCAATCATGAGTTTTCCCTCTTCTTCCTTGATAAATAAGGTCTTATCTATCCCACCTTTTATGTAACCATTCTCGACAAGGAACTCAGTTAGTCTTTCATACCAAGCTTTAGGGGCTTGCTTTAGGCCATACAGGGCCTTTTTCAACTTGAAGACATGATTTGGAAAGTTTGGATCAACAAATCCTTTAGGTTGTTTCACATAGACTTCTTCACTTAGGTACCCATTTAAAAAGGCACTTTTGACATCCATTTGAAGCAACTTGATTTTTAGAATACAAGCAACTCCCAGAAGAAGTCTGATGGATTCAAGTCTAGCTACAGGAGCAAGGGTTTCATAAAAGTCAATCCCTTCAATCTGAGTATATCCTTGAGCAACCAACCTGGCTTTGTTCCTAGTGACCACTCCCTTTTCATCAGTTTTATTCTTGTAAACCCATTTGGTTCCAATCACATTTGTTCCTTCAGGCCTTGGCACAAGATCCCAATCACATGTACAAAACTTTAACTTCATAACCCCTCTTAATTTTATATTATCTTTCATATACTGATTTATCTTGCACACCATGTGTACTTGCCTATGATGTATGTGATTTATTTTACATACCATGTTCTAGGGATGCGTGTGATGCTTAGGATGTTTTGACAATGTTTAGGAACAGCTCGCGCAATTAGGTGAAAAACACTGAGTATGATTTTCTGGGTGAATGATTTGATCCATTTTCTCATTTTGAGATTGAGGTATATATATATATATATATATATATATATATATATATATATATATATATATATATATATATATATATATATATATATATATATATATATATATATATATATATATATATATATATATATATATATATATATATATATATATATATATATATATATATATATATATATATATATATATATATATAGGCTCATAGAGCACGGACTAAAGAATTAGGGAGTGGTTTATCCTAACTCCACGACCAGAAGATGTGGCTGGGAGGAGACCTGGTCTCCTTGAAATTGTAAGGGAAATCGTTTCCTTCATAGACTCTCTTCTCGGTTAGTTGCATGTGATCACATGTCACCATCCACGTTTACTAGGCAAGTGAGGGTTATTTTGAGCGACTCGAACTCAACAGGTGGCCTAACATCGAATTCCGACAGCCTATGGTTTCGTGTTGAAGTTCGTCCCTCGCTAGTGTGTTTTGCTTTTCATTCTTCTTTATAGATTATTTTTTTTAAGGATTCAATAAAATTATCCAAATACACCGTATATTATTTATTTTTTTCTTGTTGGTTCAATATTATTCGTCTAATGTCCTACTATTCATCGTTGCTTATGTATTGAACAATACTTTTTTATATTTTTAAAAATATAAAATAGTGGACTCCATTTTTTATACAAAAATGTTGAGGTTATGAGCCTTGCGAGGTACCAAGTTATTCTACCCCACAATAAGAAAAACAGTTGACAATTAAAAAAAACAGAGATTGAATGTGCCCCTCCATCATAGCTATACAAATAAAACTCATGTTTATCTTTGACAAAGAGAAATTATACAATTCAACTATATACGCGTTTTTCTTTTTATTGATTTTTATATATTTTATATATATATATATATATATATATATATATATATATATATATATATATATATATATATATATATATATATATATATATATATATATATATATATATATATATATATATATATTAAGTATAAAATATAAGCATTTTCTAATAAAAGATCCTCCCACTAATTAGTAGGGGTGGCAAAATGGATGGATTGGATGGATATGAATTGGGTTGTTAATGGATGGATTAAAGCAATCCATTAATCCATTAACAATCCACTAAACTCTCTTAATAAAAATTCAATCCAATCCATCCATTAAAAGATAAAATTCATCCAATCCATCCATTAACATATTTCTAATGAATGGATATCCATTCATCCAAAAAATTAATTTAAAAATTCTTAATTTAATAAGTGACAACATAATATCCAATAGATTTATAAAATGAGATGGATGGATTGAATCTATCCATATGAATTAGTGGATGGATTGAATCAAATCCATTAAATTATTTTTTGTCTTATGGATGGATTGGATGAATAAATTATTGGATAGATTGGATGAATATCATCTAAATGAATTTCATTGTCACCTCTACTAATCAGTATACTAATAATGTTTTACTAGAACTCAATATCTTATTTTTACAGCATGGTTAAACCTGTGTGGAATGAAGATTTCTATTAAACTTTTTTATTTCCTTTTCATTTTCAGTGAGCAAGGGCAACAAGTGTAGATTTTTCTCCACAAAAAGACTTGATGAGAGGCGGTGATCATCAATATTAGACCTTTTAACTCACATGCAAAGTAATTAGGAGATAAGATGAATAATGTAAAAGAGAAAATAAGGTAGATGTAAAAACTAGTAGTATAATAAGGTATCAGGAATTGTTATTTGACAAAAACAATGCAAATTCAATAATAAAAATTGTAGTACTGAAATTCCAACTTTCAAAACCCAAACTCAGAAATTCGAATGGGATACTCTTGTTAAATTTGACTTACTTAATGCACCAAATTTTTTGTGATAGTTGATATAAGGAGGTGATTAATGATATGTTTTTTCCTTCACTTTTTGGTACCATACATGGACTCCACCTTCCCATCATTTCCTCCAAGCAACAGATACTTATCTTTCCTAGTCAAACCAGTACACTCAAATCCAAGCACATCCCCCAAAACCTTCTGCACATGATTAGCAACCTCAATAGAAGATTTCCCACCAGCCTTAACTGACATCTCTTCCGGTAACCGGTCAAGAAACCTAGCCTCATAAACAGGCCTAGGATTCATGAAGAAGAAATACGGGTCCCAGAATTTGACTCCACGAACAGTGGTCCCAAAGAACATGTTCTGTTTGCAATCAATAGCTACGGGAACGATCCTATCACTCAGTTCAGCAAACAGAGCACTGAACCGTAGCAAGAAAGGTTCGCGACACGTGGTGCCTTCTGGGCACACAACGAGGTCACCATTTTGGAGAATCTCGGTGATACGTGCTGCATCGGCGGCGCGATCGCGGGTGAGTGCGACGGCAGGGATTGGTGACAGGAAGCGGGAGAGTTTGCTGACGCTGTAGGTAACACATGACACTTTGCGGCCAAGGGCAATGGCGATGATGATGGGGTCGAGGGCGGTGCGGTGGTTGCAAACGTAAAGGTTTCCGGGGGTTCCTGGAGATGGTGGCGGAGGACGGTGGCCGCTGATTACAAGCTTGATGCCGAGGATTTCATAGGTGTAGCGAACTATGCGTTCAGGGAGTGGGAGGTTGAAGTAGACTCTGATGAGGGAGAGGATGAAGCCGAATGGGATCCAGGCGAAGGTGATGATGGCATTTAGCGGGTCTGGACGCTGTACAAAGCGACCGTCGTGGAAGATGAGTCGGCTCTTTAGACGCTCTAGAGGAACTGGTTTTGCTGATTTGCTTGGAGGCACCATGTACCCTTCCTGTTATTCACCAACATCAATATTAGAAAAATGATAGTTCATTTTCTTTTGTTTTTGTTATGTGCATATTCAATATGTGGGAGTACCAAGTACAAAAATAAAAAATTCATAATACATACAGTTGATATTCAGATAAATAAATAAATATATAAAGTATTTTTGCATCATATCATGGTATAGTTGCTAATATTTGTGATCAATATAATAATATAAAATGCATGTTTTGTATGTTGTCTATGGCCTATATGGTTATTTAATTAATGATTAATACACCCCATGTGTCTCTTTCACGTATATAAACAAGTTACACACTAGTTTGGACCGTGTTAAAGGATGACTAATTGGATGAAACAAAACTATATATGATTGTGATGTGATGGTGTGAAGTGATGTAAAGAATTACGTCAAAGGAAATGAGAGTTAGGCCAAAGATTGCTATAGCGAAACAAAGATTATTCCGATAAAGGATATTGTCGATTTGTCCATTCATTCATTCTTATGATAGGTTACACTTTAGTACACAGATGGGGAAGTTACACCGTTTTTGGGTCAATTTCATGGAAGATAAGGTAAAGGGAGCACTTTCTTGTGAGCGGTGAATTGAGAAACCATATGAGTGAATTAATTGAGACGAAAATTGTGGGTGGCCAAATTCCTACTTAAGTATATGGACCATAACTGCATTAATTCAACCGTGTTGGACGTAGAAGTATGAAGAATGAATGGACCACGGAAAGTTGGTTGGGGTGGTAAATAAGGTGGGTCCCAGATTGTTTACAATTGGGAAAATAAAAATGAAACCATAATTCACCCAACCGTATAAGTTAATGCAGCTCCTTCAATTCAAATCTCAATTCACCATCGTGATTCATGCCCTACGACACGCCATTGAATAATTGATCTTATCCTATCCATTACCCGTACAGGGACACATACGGCTCATGAATAAACGCCACCGGCTCAACAGTTTAACATAGTCAAAATATTGATGATTCCGACGCACTTCAACTAAATCACACACAATCTTCTTCTTAAGATGGATATAATAACAAAATTGCTAGTACTGAACTCTTTTAGACCATAATTTAAATATTTTAGCAAATACACCATTTGGTCATTATTATAAACAATAAGAAATTTAAATTAATTGAATAATTAATATATTTAATATATAATAATAATCAGATACGTTATTTATTTATTATTTATTTAATAAATTTATTAAAAAAAATTGTTGCTTTTAATAGTGAATTGATTTCCATCTTTAGAAGAATATTTAAATTCAGTTCAGTATAAATATTTACTGAGACCAAAATTGTAATCAATTCAGTATACTCTGTCTATAAAGGTAAAAATACTTTTTGTCTAGACCAAAATTGATTACAATTCAGTATACTCTATCTAAAAAGGTGTATAATCTTTGGACAGAGTATGCAGTTAATAGAGCATCCACAGTAGTAGTAGTAGTAATTATTTTACCTATTTAACATCTAGCTAAATAACCAATAACTATCACAGAATAGGAAAACTAAACATTTTTAGAGAAATGTGATTAAACAAGCATCATCTTTCTTTATTTTTCGTATATTTTTATTTAATAAATTATATTAAAAAATAAATTTTCTTGAAATGTAGTCTTATTTAATAATTATTGATGGAATTCATTTGATTAAAAAAGTAAGAGATGTTGAGTTGAAAAAGTTAAATATTTATTCTTAATTATATATTTAAAAACTAAATTGTTTTTTTATAAATAGGATCAGAAATAATATAAAATAAATGATATATTAATATTACCTCTCTACTTAAGCACTAAAACTTGAATAGGTTGATTAGTGAAATAATTAATGTTATATAAATTGAAGTAATTAATAGAGTGACACATTTCATTTCTTTTTAATGGTTATTTTTAAAGTTAATGATCATTGTTTTGTCCAATTATTAATATAACCTCTACTCAGGGGTATTATACACAAGAGAATAATCATAGTTTAAAAAGTATAAATAATTATTAATTTTTTTAGTCATAGTTTAAAAAATAGAAATAATTATTAATTTATATATATATATATATATATATATATATATATATATATATATATATATATATATATATATATATATATATATATATATATATATATATATATATATATGTAAAAAAATATTTAAAAAAACATCTAAAAAGGAAAAGAGGAGTAGTACACAACCGACACGGGGATAGTACCTTTATTACCACCTTTTATTAAGGTTGAATAATAGCCAATAGAGATTTTTTTTTCCAAATTTTCAAAATAAAATTTGGTTATGTGATTAAAAAAAATCGCCAATAGAGATTAGTTTAGTACTTGTTGCGTAGATTGGATTTTCACTCTCTCCAATATGATGATACGTGGATAAGTTTTATTTCCCATTAAAAAATTCTACACTTTTCTTCGTGATAATTTTAATGAATGTGTATTCATGATAATTTCTTATTTAAAAACTTTAAACTGATTTTACCTATATCATAAAATAACCAACAAATGAACAAAACTTCTACGTTCCATAGAATTTTCCAAAAACATATATAATGTGTTGGTACAGTATAATTCTTCAACTTTTATTTTTGGTGAAATAATTATTCAATTCAATAAATAATGTAAAGTAAACATTATAATCCATTTAATAATTTTTGTACCAATATTTATTAAAGAAGAAGTTCATCAACATTTTATTCATTATGAAGTATATGAACCATTACTAATTATTTTCCACTAAGTTAATCCGTAAATAACTAAAATGTTTAAGTGTGCAAAGATATTTAGTAGCAGAAGCCAAACCTTGCAAATAGACATGAAATCGTGATCAGTTTTGCGATCTCCGAGTCCAATATCAGGTAAATCATCACCAAACTCTTTCATAACCGCCAAACGCTTCAAGTCTCCAACAAGTACACCAGATTTCTTCACGAATCCAGTAGCCTTCTTCGTCTTCGGATTCACCTCGATCTCCGTTCCCAAAACCTTATCGCCGCCGAGATAGTCCTTCACAAACGTCTCCACCATCACCGTCGGATTCGCTGTCACCACTACCTTCCGTTTGCACCGATCAAACACCTCGAAGCTCTCTCTCCTTACATCCGCAGCATAAAACCTACACAAGAACGCATCGTAATGAATTTAACCGTACAAAATCATAAAACGGACGAATGAGCGAGTGAAAACAGTTCGTTAATCGTTACCTTGGAAGCACAGCGCGTGAAGCGAGTTCGATGTCGCGGATTTTGAGACCGGCGAAGGAGATAAAGATGAGAATCTGAATACCGAGAGATTCAGATATGAAGAGGTAAGAAATGATCACAAACGGAAGAGAGAGAAGTAAAATGAAGCCACGGAGGAGGCTTCCAGCTTCAACGGCCACGAGCATGAAGTAAGGAAAAGAGCTTCGAGAAATGAGAAGAGTACCGTCAAGATCAGCCGCGACGGTTTCACGCGGCGAAGAAGAAGACGTTACTCCGTTACATTCCGTTATCGGAGGGAAGTTACGTTTCGGTTTCGGCGTCGCCATTTCTGTTACGGCGGTGACAGCTGTAGTTTCTATTTTCTTTGCTTTGTAATAAGAGAGCGCGAGAAGTGAAGGTGGGGGAACGTCCGGTTTTAAATGTGGTTTCAGAGATGGTGAATTACGGATTTAGCCTTGAAAATTCTCATGGTTTTTGTTTCTTATGACTGTTGTTTTCTTCGCATGAGAAGTCCTTACCGTCTTCTAATGCAGTTGGCCAGTTGCACCAACTAGATTTATGACTGGATTTAATAATTATTAGGTGGTTAATCAATCGTTTAAGTTTCCATTGATTATTCCTTTAAAATATTTATTGTGTTGAATGTTTTTTCTTAAGATATTCTTTGACATAATATATTTATATATTATCAAAATGGATCCCAAATCTACACGTAGCACATGGCTAAAAATTGATTAATATAAAAAAAAAAATTGAATTAATCGAGATGTATTGACGTTAAAAAAATTTTTACACTTTTATCTAATAAAAATATATTATTCTGTAATTTTATATATATATAATTTAAAAGTTTTAGTCAAATTTATAAAATATATAATCGTGATTGATTGATTGATAGGAGAAATTAATTTTCACTACTAATGCATTCATTTTCTCTTTTTTCATATTATATGTAATGCTTTAATTAAGGAACGTGACATATGCTTAAACGTGACCTAATATTTTATGCTTAATCTGGTTGTGCCTTATTCCGTGGGAATTGAGTGGGAACAAGAAAGCGAAAGAGTAGCCTATGCTTATACATGAGTGGAAATTTTAATGTGTATGGTAATTTGTATTTTTATATTAATTTAAGTGTTATGTTTTAACTTTTAACGTGTGTTAGGTTTAACTTATACTTTTAACGTGTGTTAGGTTTAACTTATACTTTTAATTATATATCCTTAACTTCCATGATGCCTGCTTCATATATGCGTGTATACTTTTTATTATTATGCTCTACTTGTATGTTGTGGTATGCTTTCAATAGTATGTTAAAAGCTTTTTTTAATGATAAAATAATATTAATAAAACAGAAATAAAAATATAAAAAAGTATACAAGAATGAAATCAAAAAGCACAAAATGAACTACATTACCTCACTAAAATAGATACAATTTCAAAAATAATAGAAAACAATAAAGAAAATTTTAAAATAAAAATAAAAACACGCTAAAAACACTTAAAGAAAAAACTTAGGCAATTAAATATCTAATTTGATTAGATGATTTATTTGAATTTAGATAAAGAATGATCCATAATAAAGTACACTTTTAGGTAAAGCCCAACTAGGATAGAAAGTGGGTTAGTCGTCCAAAACGGGTGTGAGCTTCTAAAATGGTGTGGTCGCTCAAATGGGAATGATTAGTCGCTCGACAGGATTTAAGTCTTCCACCCACGATTTGTCTCGTTTGTCCCATGGATATAGCGGTAGAAGGATATCAAGGAAAGAAGAAAAATGTCTCCTTATGATCTTGAGACAAAAAGCTCTTTATACCACCATGTTCTTCATGATGGGGTTATGGAACCCAACATTAGTCAAGCTTATGAGTCTCTATGAATATCCTAAGTCTTTAGGGCTAGCAACAAACACAAATTCTAAGAGATAAAATACATGAACCCTCATAGTCATTACATGAGCATGTTCTCGTTATTGGCACCCATCGCGGGGTTCAAGTAATACTAACCTAGGTAACTCACGTATTCACAACCAAAATTGTCTGGACCATCATCCTCAAGATGGTACAAACATGAGGGGCCACGTCGATGTCGGGGCTAACATTTATAAACTGAATGACTTGTCCCGGGAAGATTTTTATATGATCAGGAAATTCGTAGCCTTTTATTTCATAATCATGTAATCATTGTCATAAAGAATAAAACCATATATTTCCCATAGCTTTGTTTGAATCTCTTTTCAACCATCAAAGTCATGTGTGTGTAGTGAATTTTTTTAAAAACATAAACTTACATTAATTGATGTCCAAAGAGATTGTCAAAACATGATTTTATTTTATTAGACAAAGATTTTTGAAAGTTAATATAGCTCAAAGTTAGAGCATAATAGAAACAGAAATCTTAACAGATATAAGACCAAGTTAGAGAGATTTTCATATTTGTAACATATAAGTAGACGGAAGGTAGTAAAGATAGTTTTAATATAAAAGCCACTGATATGCCATTAGAAATAACCAACTAAATTCTGAGCATCAGAGGTTGAGATGTTCATAGGCTACCACACATCAGAAGCTGGTTCAGAGCTTCTGATTATAGTAGCTTTCGATCATCATCAGACTCTGATCCTTCATTCAAAAACAAGTAATAATCTTTCATAAAATGCATGTTCAGGTTCTTTTTAATGAAATCAAATTTGTCTATAGTGAGAGGTTTGGTAAATATATCAACTCATTGATGATATGTATTAATGAATTGTATATCTATTACACATTTTTTAACGTAATCTCAAATAAAATAATGTTTTGTTTCTATGTGCTTGGTTCTAGAATGTCGAATTGGATTTTTTGTTAAACATATGGCAGCAATATTATCACAGAAGATGTGAATACTGCTTCCACAAATCTGATAGTCTTCCAACTGATATTTCATCCAGAGGAGTTGTGTGTAATATTTAGAATTTGAGATGTATTATGCTTCTATTGTGGATAAAGCAATAGTTGTTTGTCTTTTACTAGCCGAGGAAATTAGGTTTTCACCTATGAGTTGACATTTTTCACTAGTGGATTTCCTTTCAATTCTTTCCTCAGCATAGTCAGCATCACACAATCCAACTAACATGTAACATAGGGATTTTTTTTATTATGCAACCCTAGATTAGTTGTTACCTTTAGATACCTAAAGATTCTCTTAACAACAGTTAAGTAAGTTTTCCTAAGATTTGATTGGAATATTGCACACATACACACGCTGAACAAAATATCTGGTCTATAAGCTGTTAAGTAGAATAAGGAACCAATCGTACTTCTATACAGCTTCTGGCAGACTTTAAGCTTTCTTCTTCTTTGTTCAGATTTCATGTTGGATGCATAGAAGTCTTCATAACTTTGCAGTCTTTAAACTTTAACTTCTTCAGAAGCTCTTTTGTATATTTTGACTGATGAACATAAACTCAATCTTTGATTTGGTTTATCTGAATTCACAAGAAGAACTTCAATTCGCCCATCATGCTCATCTCAAATTCAGTCTACATTGTCTTAGAAAACTCCTTGCAAATAGTAGCATTAGTAGAACCAAAAATAATATCATCTACATACACATGAACAATTAGGATGTCATTTTTCAATGTTTTTCTAAAGAGTGTGGTATCAAATTGCCCTTTTTGGAAATCATTTTCTAAAACGAAGTTACTCAATCTCTCATACCAGTCTCTTAGAGTTTGTTTGAGTCCATATAATGACTTATTAAGTTTGAAAACATGTTTTGGATGGATTGAATCCTCAAATCCAATGGTTGTTTTATATAAAGTTCTTCAGAAATGATACCATTTAAAAATACATACTTAACATCCATTTTATATAGAATGATTCATGAATAATAACATAGGACAGAACTAACCTGATTGCATCTAACCTTGCAACAGGTGTAAAGGTTTTAGAGAAATTATACCTTCTTGTTGACTGTAGCCTTGAGCTACCTGTCTAGCTTTGTTTCTTACCACTTTTCCTTCCTCATTAAGCTTGCTTTTGAAAACCCCATGTTGTTTTAATGATGTTCTTCTGATGAGTTTTAGGTACCAAATCTCACACATCATTCTTTTGAAACTGGTACAGTTCTTCTTGCATGGAAATAATCCACCCATCATCAAATAAGGCTTCATTAACAGAAGTTGGTTTTGTCATGGAGATAAGTCCCAGCATTGAATGCTCATCTCTGAATGCAAATCTTGTTTTCAGATGGCTATCTTTATTTCCATTGGTTAACTCTTTTAGATGAGAAGACTTTTAATTTAAGGTCTTTCTGGATTGTGCATCTTCTAGAGAATCCTAAGGAGCTTCTTCAAAACTTGCTTCCTCTGGATGTGTTTCAGGAGTTAGGTTTGGTTTTGTACCACCAGCTTCTTAACACCTAACTTTTGAACCTCTAGCTTCTAAACATTCAGTTTTTGAAGGAATTATAACTTCTGATCCACCAGCTTTTGGAAAAACTTCTAATATATGAAATTCTGAAATATTTTCAACTAGCTCTAACATTTTACTATCAGGCTTTTTGTCATCAAATTTGATATGTATAGACTCTTCAACCATTTTGGTTTCAAAGTTATACATCATATATGCTTTTAAGAGTTCAAAGTATCCTAAAAAAGATATCCTTTTGAGCTTTAGCATCAAATTTCTTTAGATAGAATTCATTGTTCAAGATGTAACATGTACATACAAATTGATGAAAATAAGAAATGTTAGGTTTTCTTCTTTTGAAAAGCTCATATGCATTTTTGTTCAAAATTAGTCTGATGTAAATCATGTTCTGAACATAACATGTTGTGTTTACAGCTTCTGCTCACAAGTACTTAGGTAAGTTATTTTCATGAATCATGGTTATGGTCATTCATTGTAAAGATATGTTCTTTCTCTCTATAACTCTATTTTGTTGTGGAGTTCTAAGAAAAGAGAACTCAAGGAGGATTCCATATTTTTCACAAAAGATATCTTGATCAATCCTTACTTTCAATTTTTTTTAAATAATCACTCCTTACTTTTAAATTTTCTGATTCTTTTTCATTTTGTAATTGTATGTAAAAGACACTAAACATATCATATGATTCATCCTTGATTCTAAGGAATTTGACACAGGTTCATCTACTAAAGTCATCAATAATGACAAGTCCATATTTATAGCAAAAATTATTTTAAATTTAGGTATCATAGCCTTATGGGTCCTTTAGGATTATTTTTTACCGACTTTTTCTTGTTTTGTACCTTTTCTTTCATATGGACAGGCTTAAACTCATTCAAGACTTTTGGTTTAGAAGTTTGTTGTCTTGAATAAGTCT